GGAAACTTTCAGTAATTTACACTGAACTTAACGTTTACTTAAATGCGTTATTAAAGTAATACAATAGACAGAAAATACGAAATTTAAAAAAAAAAACAAAAAAAAAACATAAGTTTTTTTTTTTAAATCTGCTAACCGAGTCACTGTGAACCCAACATCAAAAAGTAATTCAAACAACGACAACTGGAGGAATACAACTTGAACAGTCATCAACAATAGAAAGATGTTTACACAATATGTAAAACTTTACAAATCGTCCAAATTTTATAAAATTAATCAGAAGCAATCATAGATCTGCCATCAACACCGAATTTTCAAGCAAACCTCAAAAAAATAAAATACAAACCTCTGACGAAGATCCTAGTTTTTGACAGGCACAGGAACATGTATGTGTTTGTGTGTATGCGTGATGGTGATGGTGGAGGGAGTTAACCATTTCTATTTTGAATACTTTGAAGCATACTAATGAAGCAATGTACATAAAAGAGGAAGGTCAGCATTTCATTTTGTGCGCTTTTCAATATCACGTGATCGTGATCATGTCCTTTTGAACTATCGATATCAAGAGTTAGACAAATGTTTTTTTTTTTATAAATAGCAAATAATATCTCTCGCTGTCTGCCTGTGTTTGTGTCTGAATGTGTGTGTGTCTGTCTGTGTGTGTGTCTGTCAGTCTGTCTGTCTCTCTCTCTGGAATGTGGAATAAAATACAAAAGCAAAATATAACGCAAAAATAACATGGAAACGGATTTGTTTCATTTTATTTATTTTTTTTTTGTTTATTAATTTGCTTTGTTTACAAAACAACAAGGAATTTTGTATTATACCCAAAATACTTTAAAACGCGATGAAGTAGAAATCGAAAAGTAGATTTTGATTGTCAGGTGATGGTGGAGGGAGTTAACCATGATGTCTATTTTGATTGTCAGGTGATGGTGGAGGGAGTTAACCATGATGTCTATTTTGATTGTCAGGTGATGGTGGAGGGAGTTAACCATGATGTCTATTTTGAATACTTTGAAGCATATTAATGAAGCAATGTACAAAAGAGGAAGGTCAGCATTTCATTTTGTGCGCTTTTCAATCTCACGTGATCGTGATCATGTCCTTTTGAACTATCGATATCAAGACAAATGTCGTAACTATAAAGAAACATTTCGTTACTTTTTCAAGATACATAGTATGCGAAATAAATTCATTAATGTTTCGTTCAGTTGAATGGATGCATATATTTTGTAGTTTAAAAGCAAAACGATATAAATCCCGTGAAGATATACTTAATCAACAGAAATTTGTTTTATATAAAACATACATTGTTTGCCAATATACAACGAAGAAAATTATAGCAATATCGTATCCAACAAATACTCGTGCTATTAAAAATAGCTAAAATTCTTCATTTGCTATTGACACCTTCTTAAACACTAATGTCATTTCCTGTACAATGTATATGTTTTTCCAAAACTGAAAACGACACGTTATGAGTTTCATGCACCGAAGCGCTTTTCTGGATTTACCTTCACCAGGAACGCTCAAAACCGAATATTTGAAAGCCAATGACAGTTGAAGAGCTATAAGCCAAAAAAAGGACCTAAAAATAGCCAAATCCATCTGAGGTCAACTTTGCCTGAGGGAGTTTAAACCTTAGTTTCTACATAAACGGTGAGTTTGAGAAAGATTTTTATAGTTAATTCATGTCAGTGCTGTGCCGAAGCACTGACTACTGAGTCGATGATATCCTCAGGGGACTGATAGTCCACCAGCAGAGGTATCGACCCATTTCTGTAAAAAATGAAAAACAATACGTTAAAGATTCCTTGTGTTCCAAGGGATTTTCTAGATTTACCTTCATCAGGAACGCTCAAAGCCGAATATTTGAAAGCCAACTTGAAGGATGTATAAAACCGAAACAGTTGAAGAGCTATATGACAAAATCCAAACAGATTTCATACAATGTCATAAAATAGTATAAATGAATTCGTGTAACGATCCAAATATAAAGCAGATAAGGGCTATTTATTTCAAAGTGTTTATTTCGCAAATCAATATTTCCTCTTTAGATACAGTATGTAAATTTGAACTCAAACATTAAAATATAAAGATCTTTTCATTTTTGAACGCACAGACCGCGATGGCAAAAAGTTATAAAAGAATCCTTGATATTAGACTGTCAGAAACCGATGGAAAATTATCATAACAGATCTTAATACTTATATTGATATGTTATAACGATGGCATACAACAATAAAGAATCTTTAATACTCTGACAAAAGTATTATATTATCCAAAATGGACCCGTAATACAATTAACAAGTATTATCCTATCCCGATGGCTAAATGCTATAGCAAATCCTTAAACTAATAGTATGCTATCACAATGGTGAAAAGCTAGTTTTTTTGCTATCCTGAGTGCAAATAGCTTTAATGGCGTCCGGTCGTTCTGAATATATAAATAGAGTCATCATTAAACGGTTAGAAACTGATAGTGAATATACAATCAGAGAAACGATTCAAGGCAACGCATTTTCCCTTTATTATGAAACTGGATGTACCACGATACCAAATCATTCTAATGAGAGAATGTTGCTTTCGAATCAAAATCATTGATTCAAGGAAAAAACGTGGAATTTTTATTCGAAATTTCATTGATCTCTAAAAGTTTTTTTCATCAAAATTTCAAAAACCGATACTTAAACTAGTGTATCAATACTTTTGTTGATAAGTATAGATATATAGATATAAAGAGTCCTTAATGTGCTGACAAAATCATATATAGTAAGGGCTTTACAATTTCTGATGATGTAAATATGCGATACCGTAAAATTGTTTTAAAGATACCCAGGAGACAATCAAAAACTTATTATAAAGACGAAAAAAGTCTACAAAACTTGACATAGAACACTATACAGACCGCACCTAAAATCGGAGATGAAATCGTTTCCACTAAAAAGGTATTCTGCTCAAAACTAGCACCCATCGTCTATTAAAAACACGCACAACTCCCATGATTGGACTTAAAGCGGTAATGTCATAGCCTAGGACATAAGGTAAGACTATGGTGCGACAAAAGGAAAATATCCGTAACATCTGTGACACAGATATTCCATTTTATTATACTTCATGTTAAAATGCCATATTTTGATTGGCTAATACGAGGGTGTAAATTTACTCTATCACATGGCTAAGCGGGTGACAATTTTTTTGAATGTCACCCTCTCGTCCAGACTAATCAAAAATCGATAATTTAAAGGACAATGAATTGAATTTACATCAAGTAATTAAATACAACGCTTAAGTTCTACGTTTTGGCTCAGATTTTATTATTTTACTGTCAAATAAAAAAATAAAACATCACCTCACCTTTGTTGTTTGTTCTAATACCCGTAACGTTGTTATGTACGTGACGTCATAGAAAATACTTTTAAAATAAAATTAATCTGTAAAAGACAATAATGATTGGACATTCAGTATAATAAATTAAATAACACATAGCTGAGAGGGTGATAGAGCAGATTGGTACCCCTCGAAAAAGCATTGTCAACCTTGGCTTCGCCGCGGTTGACAATGTTTTCTCGGGTAACAATCTGCTCTATCATCCTCTCAGCTATGTGTTATTTATATAATAATACATGTTGATGAATTTATGCTATTTAGAATAAGGAAGTCAGTTCAAATCCTAAAATGTAACTGTTTTTTACTCCATTTTATGTCTTAATTAGAGGCTTATTTGAAAGTCCCGTAACAGGATCATTGTAGATACATGTACGCTAAATTGCATACCAAAGGGAAATTCAAATTCATAAGTCGAAAACAAACAGGCAATGCAATGGTAAAAAAAGAACAACGACGAAAGACTGAACAACATACCAAATATTATATATTATGCATAACCAATTGTAGTTTTAGCATAGAAAGGTAAATGTCTACCCTTCTTTCATGCTGAAGTAATGCTATTGCTCAGAGAAGCTTTCACTCTGAACCCAAAGGAATAACTCTTCTGAGGGGGGCATACGAGTGTCTGTCGGATAAGAGAAGCGAATAATACGAATGGGATATTCAAACTTCTGTCGAAAACAAACTGACAATGCCATGGCAAAAACGAAAAACGACTAAAAGACTGAGAACAGTACACAAAACACAACATAGATATCTATTATAAGGTTCTCATGAATGATATTTATAACATATTATAATATTGATTTATATACTTTCCAATAGTATTCAAAAGTATCAATATGCATATGCATGACGTATTTGTCCCTAAATATTAAGCATCGAACCATCTGTCCGATATGTTATACCGAATTTCTGTTTTGTGTACAATGCCAATTTCCATTGTTTTCTTAGATCTGTCTTGATGAATAATATATATGTTCGTATAGGAAAAACAATAATCATCAATCTTTAAAGGTTAACTATGCTTAAGAGACTTTTAAACCTAAGATTCAGAATTTTTGACATAAATCATAATCTCAACGATAAAACAATGTCATACAAAAAAAAATTGCTCCTCCTATATCAATTTGATATCATCTTAAGGGTGTACTCATGTCAGGTTAAGGAATTTTTGTCAGATGTTCGAACTCCTTGGATTTTTTCCTACAATACAGGGTAAAATATTTTGCCCTATATTACCCACTTTTCTTTTCATATAAGCTTTTAATAGCTCATAAAAGGTCGTTTATCAAAATTTGAGCAGATTCTAGACTTCTTTTTCTTACGATTTGAGAACCAAATAATGCCAATGCTTAAATATAAGGTAAAAGTCCGAGCCAGCCTTTCCCCGCCATTTTTTAAAAATTAAAGATCTCGAACAGGTCCTGGAGTTCCATAATCAATCATTTTTTTTAAATTTATTTAGTTCCTTAACTAACGCTCTTCAAATTTAAAGTATCAAATTGAAATTCCAGATTTTTTAAAATTTCACCCGACTACATCCTTAAGCAATCATTTACATTTATTGAGATATTTTTTAAAGAATAAACATTGAACATATAAAATTATCAATAGTGATTATTTTTATTTTTTGAAGATTTGATATCATACGCACAGTATCATTTATGCAGCTCATAAGGCATAAGAAATAACATAATGGGAATAAAAAAATATTGTCTTTTGTCAAAATGAAGCCAGAACCTTAAAAAGACTAGTATATATGTATTCATAAACGTTCTAACACGTTGAAAGTCAGTATAAGAGATCTTTGAATATATGAAGTAAACAATCAGATCAAAATTCGGATATTATTTTTATAAGAAAATGTAGAAGACATCAATGACCACTTGGACAGTGTCTCGGAGGCGGAGCATACTTGGTCGCTGGTTCTGGAAGATGGAAATTGCCCTGTCGAAACTGAAATATAAAATTATGTAATAAATTGGTACATATTTATGTATATTATATAGTCAATATTATTTTTATAATATAATTATCTTACTTATTAAAAATGAAATAGTTCTTGTTTCATTTAAACTCTTCAGATCGGGAAAATTTAAAGAATATGACAAACTAATCGACATTTTTACCAATAATACCTTGATCATGTACTGACTGTTGCTAATACCGACGTAAAAATGCTAAATTTATTTTACAAAAAGAATATCTAAACATCACTCTTTTTGTTCAAAATAAAAAAAAAAAGAAACTATAATACACGTCAAAAATGACGATTTCAACTTCCCATTTTTTAACGGCTATTATTTATTGTCGCTTGCTATGGCGTGTCAATTCACAATTTGTATGCTCTGATAGAATATGTACAAATGAAACCGACTCTTATAAACGTAATTTATATAACGCTTTATAAAATGTCGTGCGTCCTAAGCAGGAACGCTAAAATCCTAAACATTTCAAATCCAATGATGTACAAACACGTGAATACGTTAGATGCTTTATGACCAAAAGAGACATATGATGAAGCTGACATGTCAGTAACTGCTAGTAGTCCTCTGTTAATTTATGTTGATCATTGTCATTTTGCTTAGTTTCTTCTGTTACCTATTTTAACATCGGACTCGGACTTACTTTGAAATGAGTTATACTTGGCGTATTGACGTGCGTTTGTTTATTCCATATTGGCTAGAGGTATAGGGGGAGGATTGAGACCTCACAAAACATGTTTAACCCCGCCGCATTTTTGCGCCCGTCCTATGTCAGGAACCTCTGGCTATTGTAAGTCTTGTATGTTTTTTTTTAAATTTTGGTTCATTTATATGTTTCGCAGTTATGACGTCCATTTTCGTTGAACTTAGTATACATGATTTTTTTGGGGCCAGCTGAAGCCCGCTTCAGGTGCGGGATTTTTTCGATGTGTTGATGACCCAATGATGGCCTTAAGCTGTTTTTCTGCTCTTTGGTCGGGTTGTTGTTTCTTTGACACATTTCCGTTCTCAATTTATTAAAAGAACAGAGGGATTCATCTAAGGTAGATTTTGCCAAAGGATAATTTCGGTGGACCAACATTCCGCCAGCACTGGGACCGACGTAGATTTTATCAACTATAGGTCACCGTAAAGTCTTCGTCAATATTCAAAATTCGTTCGTATTGTAAGATATAAAGGGCCCAAACAATACACAATATAAACAATTAAAGGAGAAAACCAACACCTGATTTATGTACCGAACAATAAACGCAAAACAAATATGATAGACAGCGACCAACGACAAACACTGAGTTACAGGCTTCTTTTTTTGAACAGTAACTGTTACATATAGGATGTGGCGGATTTAAACGTGTTTATAAATGCAAACCAGTTGTTGGCATGATACAGGTTATGTTTTTCTCGTTTATTTCATGATGGTATGATACTTAACCCATAACGGGAGGGATTGTGCTTGATTTTCATATGATGAAGACATAATTTTTCAATCAGTTTAATTGAGGTCTGGAGCTGGCATGTCAGTAACTGCTAGCAGTCCTTTGTTAATTTATGTATCATTGTCATTTTGCTTAGTTTTTTCTGTTAACTATTCTAACATCGGACTTGGACTTCTTTTAAACTGAGTTTTACTATGCGTATTGCTGTGTATTTGTTTATTCCACATTGGCTAGAGGTAGGGTTGAGATCTCACAAAGTATGTTTACCCCGCCACATTTATGAGCCTGTCCCAATTTTGGTTCATTTATATGTTTCGGAGTTTAGTGTGACGTCCACTTTTGCTGAACTAATACACATTTTTTTAGGGGCCAGCCGTCTCCGGGTGCGGGATTTTCTCGCTGCGTTAAAGACCCGTTGATAGCCTTAGGCTGTTTTTTGCTCTTTGGTCGGGTTGTTGTCTCTTTGACACATTCCCCGTTTCCATTTTCAATTTTATAAGAAGAAATATTTAGTGAAGTTGACATCATCCCTTCATAAATTTTACGGACGCCGTCACGAGTTGGTTGACACTTATGGAATATTTGTTTCACAGATGACGACGGATATTGTGCAATTGTCGTTACCACAATCCTTTCCTCTTTTCCCCGATTGAGTCCGACCAAATTAGATTTATCTCCGGGTTTGTACTTACATGTACAACACGAGGGGTGCCACATGTGGAGCAGGATCTGCTTACCCCTCCGGAGCACCTGAGATCACCCTCGGTTTTGGTGGGGTTCTTGTTGCTCAGTCTTCAGTTTTGCTTTGTTGTGTTTTGTGTAGTATTGTTCGACTTATGGTCTTTTCCTTTTTTGCAATGGCGTTGTCAGTTAATTTCGACTAATGAGTTTGAATGTCCGTTTGGTATCTCTTGTCTCTCTTTTAGTTATCATAATTCATTTTATGAAAACAACTTTAATGGTAGCACCAACTAAAGCAATATTCAAAGATCTCATGACAGTGTTAAACAGATAACTTTTTGGGATAAGTTTAATCAAAGTATTGATTATATGCATCGTATCTAAATTTACATGATCATAAAAATGAGGATGTGATATCTCGTTTTCTATATGTTCAGCCAAACATTCAAACCGAATGTCTGTATCTATGAAAGAATTTAGTATAAATGTCAAGTAATTTGTGGTGACGCGATCACTACCTTAATAATTTACCAGATATACATAGAATACATTAATTGAAATCTTTGAGGTAACTTCAGACACGGTCAAAGCGAAACAGTTGGGATATATAAACACTGTAAAATTGGGCCAAAGGAACATAAACAGCCAAAAAAGAAAAAACTTCAATAGGGAACGAAAAATCGTCTTTATTGTCGTATATAATTTATAAAGATTGCAATGTGATTAATAACAATACAAGGTGCAATTTGTGACTATAGGAATACATACATGGTAATTAACTGCATTGTCGAAAAGTTAATTGAAAATTTACAGCTTTAATCATCTCATCACACTTCCAGTAAGTATGTCTAGCATTAGTAACTTTTTCATTACAGAATAAGGCTTTCTATTAGGTGCAGGAAATAATTTTTTGATAAGACGTTTCAAAGGATCATTTTTTTATTTTTTTATTTTTTAAGATTGTGTTAACCCGAATAATTCAGTCCCTCCCCGTGATCGACTCTCCCACTCGCGAGGGCCTGAACTCTTTATACGATAAAAACGCGTCACGAATCCAGGATTTTGATTGGTGCTCTCTGTGAGAGAGAGCCAATCAGCTAATAGCTAAATGTTATCGAGATAGGTAAATCCCGAGCTAATTCCGAATGATTTTTTGACGATTTTTCATTGACTAGGCCTTCAGGCGTTAATGTAGCCATCGTAGAGCAGTGGAATATAACGACTGAATTATTCGGGTTAAGATTGTGTGAAAATGTAGCATAGAAAGTCGAAAAGTCATAACTGTTACCTAAATTGAAAGGCCCATCTAAAATAACCAAACAAATGTTTACACTTCAAACATAATTCTATTATTTTCATATATATTATTACATAAGTTAATGATAGAAGTACTAAGTTGAAAGCGCTAAATGATTACTAGTAGATGTCGAACACTTACTAGAAGCCGAGATGAAACGATATTTGGCAGGTTTGTTGTGTAGTTTATGTGGCCAATAGACAGAAGGGACGTTCAAATGTTCAAAGGAGGCTTTTGGCTGAAATTTTGCAGTGTTATGCTTGTTTATCATTTTACAACTACGCTTTGCAGCTTTTTCTAAATATATTGTATACTTACATGTATATTAGCTGCTTTATCTAGCCCATAGCAGATATAATTGTATGTAGAATTATCAACGATTCCTTTAAAGTTGTCACGGACTGATTTATCTTTCCAGTCCCAAGTGTTTAGTTGTTTTACAGCATGCCAAGGAACACTGCTTATTTGGTCATAGTTGGGTTGACTGAGACAAAACGTAACATTCATTTTCGGATAGTAGAACAAGAAAGCCAAGCACATCTCGGATGTAGTCGGTAAACCACCCTACAATATTTGATAAATTTTGAGACACTTCCTCTCTACATACAATGAAAGGATGAAACAATAAAGGTGTCCCTAGACGAGCCTGTTTTACAAAACAAGGTAATCATCGATATGTCTGCAAAGGTTTTAAAAAACGAAATGAAATCATATTTGATTGATTGTTTGATATTTTTTTGGCCGTTTAACGCAACTTCTACACAATAGATATTTCTTGGCGGCCAATAATTATTGGTGGAGGATGCCGGTGTGCCGGAGAGAACTACCCTAGTCAATTAAGATTGAAGTCATGTGCACCTGCCACGTCTGGGGTTTAAACTCATAACATCAAGTTTACAGGCTAGTGATACAGAAGTTGAACCTCTTAGTCCACACGGCCACCGAGGCCTTAAACCATATTTATTCGTACAAGGCAAGAACAAAATCAATTCAGTGTAGGAAATAACAAGGTTAGCATTAACAATGAACCAAGGAGAAAACTTATATTTAGTAAATAAAAATATATTAAAGAAACTTACAACAGTCGGTTTGGTTCTTAACGAAGAATCATAGGTACAGTCAACTGCAACGCTGTCGCCCTGTATAAAACAGTTTTAAATGTTATTATCTTTGCTTATATATCTAATTCTCTCCTAGTTTTAAAAACAATAATGGATATTTTTTAATTCTTTTGTTATACTTTTCGATTACTTATATTTAATTCGTTGTCTCCATGTTTTTGTTTTTGAATTAACTACTATCTATTTTCTAACAACCGACGTTCAACATATAAATAACACATGGCTGAGAGGGTGATAGAGCAGATTTTTATTCCGAGAAAAACATTGTCAACTGAGGCGAAGCAAAGGTTTACAATGTCTTTTCGAGGGGTAACAATCTGCTCTATCACCCTCTCAGATATGTGTTATTTAATTTATTATACTGAATGTTCTGTTATTACTGTCTATTAAATTTCAAATTCAAAGTAATAAACTATGACGTCTTGTATATAACAACCATCCGTATTTAATAAAGCGCACACTTGATCAAGCGTCTCCGTGAAGGGTAATAGAGTATTAACCAATCAAAATCTGGTTTAAATCACGTTAAAATGCCAGATTTTGATTGGCTAATGCGAGGGATATAATTTACTCTATCCCATGGCTCAACGGGAGACAATTTTTTGAATGTCACCCTCTCGTGAAGACCAATAAAAAAATCGATATTTCAAAGGACAATGAATTGACTTTACATCAATATATTAAAGACAATGCTATAGTTCTACATTTAGGCCTCAGAATTTTTTCATAGACTGTCAAAATAAAAAAAAATTAGTTTGCTTCACTTCTGTTGTTTTTCTAATAACTATAACAGTGTAACGTTGTTATGTATGTGGCGTCATAGTGAAGTATACAGTAAAAGACAATAATGATAGTACATTCAGTATAATAAATTAAATAACACAAAGCTGAGAGGGTAATAGAGCAGATTGGTAACCCTCGAAAAAACATTGTCAACCTCGGCTTCGCCTCAGTTGACAATGTTTTCTCGGGGTTACAATCTGTTCTATCACCCTCTTAGCTATGTGTTATTTATATATTGTTTACAAAAAGAGAGTCGATTCCTTCATACTTTGCAGATATTTTAAGCTGAAAGATAGAGACATTTTCAATATAAATCATAAAAAGTCATCAAAAAAGGAAATTAACTAAATTGAAAAAGGTTACACAACACTGATTTCATCAACAACAACAACAACAACAACAACAACAACAACAACAACAACAACAACAACAACACAACAAAGCATTCTCGGTTCTATTTCTTTTATTCAAGCCGAAATTCGTTTAAAAGATATAAAATCAAAAACGGTAGAACGCGCTCAAATAAGAATATTGCACAAAGTTTTAGCTTACGTATTTAATCTCTCTTTCCTGTTTCATGGCCCTAAAATCTTGGTAATCATAATCATAGTTATCGTCTTCTGAGAATGGCTCAAGTTCTTTATCTTCTCGAAAATGGCGTGCTGTCAGCTTGGCACCGAGTAAATGGGCATGAAGAAGAACACCAAACACCTTTAAACTGTTTCTCTGTTTTCCAACAGCCTGTAGAAAAGAAAATAAGAAAGTAAAGACAAATATTAAACTGAAAGAGAAAAAGATTTCGCGTTAAAGTGCTTTTGCTGTATCATAAGGAACTACATGGACAGAAGGACATAGTAAAATTAATAAAGTAATATATGAACAACTATCAACAAAATGGTAACAAACCCTGCATGGTGCTTTTAAAGAGATTTTCTGCATAAAAACTATTCTTAACATTTTATATCACGGGGGGGGGGGGGGGGGGGGGGGGGGGCGATAAAGCTAATACTTTATCCTAACTGTCAAGGATTCGTGAAAAACTGGTGTGTGTCCTTTTACTGAAAAAGAGTTTCAGAGTGTCAAAGGGTAATGATAAGATATCATACACTGGAATTTGAAAGTCTCCTTATTCCATTATTTCAGGCTTATAACATACTTGGTCGAAGAAGAATTTACGAATTTAAACATTTGACATATATTTGAATAATATTACATCTGTTGAAGTAAAATCCATTGATTCTCCAGTAAAATAAAAACCGATAATTTCACATATGAAATAAATCTGATAAGTTCAGTTCTCTTCTCTCATATAGCAATGGATGTTGCCAGTAACTTAGAATGAAAACGAATCCAGAATGAGTAGAACAAATATAAATCCTCCGGTTTTTTTTAACTTCATTTCTTTAAAAGATCATGTAACTAGAGACATATGTATGGCTCACCTATATATTTTGCATTACATTGATACAATGCAATGAGAAGAATTCAGCTAGTTCCAGCAAAAACGTAAAAAAAGTGCAAGGTCATCGTCCAAGGGCTATTTTTTCTATAAGGAAGTGACTGATAATTTCAGATATATTACTTGATTCTTTTTACTTCATCTTGCTTATAATTTTTGTTATTCAAAATTTCTCTTTGTCTTCTATTGTTTCATTGTGTTAACGCCAAAAAAAAAAAAAAAAAAAAATAAAAAAAAAAAACACACAATGGTTAAACATCGACATTTTAGAGCAATGATTCCTATAAGAAGTCAACTGAGTTGACTTAAGACTAGATCCTGACCTTCTGGTCATTTTGCTATATACAGTTTCTTTCAATCTATCATTGTTTAGGCATATAACACAAAAATAGGCCAAGCCGTTAACAGTTTTCCTCTATCTATAATAGTTTAAAAAATCTAAAAAAAAATGGTGGAAATCGTCATTTAAAGACAGTTTTGGCAGATTTGTTTAAATGGATGATAGAAAGATTTTGTCATCATACATATTTTTGTTCCTGTAAGATTTTTTATTCTATCTATAACGATTTACAACATAAAATCAATACTTGCATTATCTTTTTATGTCCTATTTCTAGACTTGGCAGCCAGTCATGATGGTTGACAAGTGGAATCATCAGACACATTTTTTTTAGATACGCTAAGGATGATTGTGGCCAAGTTTGGATCCATTTGGCTGGCTTAATAGTTTTAGAGAAGATTTTTCCGAAACTTATTGGACTAGGACGGACAAAGACAACTGACGCCAAGTGATGACAAAATGTGACCCAACAAACAAAAATCAAATTTTTCAAAATATGCAATTCGTGAACAACTGAGATCATCCCCGATTGTTGGATAGGGGTCGTGTTGCTCAATATTTAGTGTTCTATATTGTGTTGTGTAAACTGTTGTTTGTCTTTGGTCGTGTTTCGTTTTTTGCCATGGTTTTGTCAGTTTATCTTCGACTCATGAGTTTAAATATCAGTTTGGTATCTTCCGACTTTCTTATAGATACAGAGCAACCAATCATCAGCAAAAAGAGAACAAAATTTAGGTTACGTTGAATTCAAATATTTATTTATATAGATTTTGTCCAAAAAATCACAATATTACAAACATTTAAAATATCAACCAATGATTGCATTTTTGATTTCAAAAGTCGCCCTATTTGGAAAAGAACGAGATGCATTGCAGAGTATCAGCTATTTTGGAATTACACATTGACCTAAAACTCAATACTCAGTGAGCAAAATGAAAATAAAAAAAAATATCGTCAAATAGGAATTGACGTCCAGTAGATCGAATATCGTTTACAAGTTGCAATATCAAATACAAACCCTCTTAGTGGATTATAAAAATTTCAGTTTGAAAAATATCATGGCTATGCAGTCTTACCATTTTTATACAATCCTTGTGACAGTGACTTTTTGATACAAATCCTTTTTCGTATGGGGGAATAAACTGTAAGTTATTAACCATTGCACCAACTTCAAGCATTCCTGCATCATACTGTCTTAATGTTGGGGTAACTGTTATTCTGAACCCAGAACTATCTACGATGCCTTTAAATTGTGAAACAATTAAAAATTAAATAGTTAACATTACAATTGACAAAAAACATAATTGTAAATATGTTTTTTGCAAGATCAATGATTATTTTGTACAGTGAATTCTTTTTTCTATGCAAGACTAAAAAATAACACCATCCTCAAATCTGTGTTCTTTCCTCAGATATGTGTCCTATTTCATATTGTGTCATAGACGTCACAAATTCATCTTCTTTCTTTTTCTAGAATCTGTGTCCCTTTCAACGAAGTCCTATGTGTTGACGTCATATTTATCAAAACGTCGTCGGAGAAAGATTTGTGTTGTCAAAGACATCAATTCGACTTTTATATTTGAATAAGATCGATATCAGTGACGGCTATTGATAAATCAACGCGTGTTGAACTAAGTACATCGGAGCTTACAATTTCTCGCAATACAAAAGTCGTAAATAGAACTTATACCTTTTTTCAGTCAGTTATTAGACTTTAGAATCAAAGAAATATCAGTGATAACAGTCAGAATTTGAAGTTTTCGCTTTTTTTGGGTTCGTCAGATAAGTAACGAAACCCTAAATGCCAAACAGTAAAATAGATTTGAGAACCCTTTGATCGTTACTTTTTGTATGTTTTGTATGTTAAGTCCTTCCTAGCTGATTTTTACAGTAAAAGACCCAGGTTACGGGAAGATTGAGCGCTTTAAGCCCGCCGCATTACATATGTGATTGTCCAAAATCACGTCACATTACTGAAAGTCTAGTTTATAAAAAGTACACGGAATTGAATAAACAAAGGGCAACACATTTGAGTTTCATGAATTCACAGGACACAGATCGGAGTAAAAGACACAGATTTGATATCGGAAAAAAGGCCAAAGATTTGAGTGCCATTACGTCACAGGAAACAGATTTGAGGAAAGGACACAGATCGGTATGCTAGTATAAAAGCATTTAACTTTTTTTTTAAAGTTTCGTTTGTGTAAACTTTCTAAATTGTACCTAGAAAATAACTTCAAAGGAAATAATTTGCTGATTTTTGTACAGGTTTGACTAAAAACTGAATTCAACGCTTTATAAATTTCATGTTAGTAATGTGCTTTCTGGATTTATATTCATCAGGAACGTTCAAAGCCGATTTTTTAAAGCTAAGGATATATAAGAACCGAAACAGTTGAAGGGCGATATGACCTGATAGTTCGATAAGTCACAAAAAAAGCTTTCTCTAATATTTTAAAATGTATTATCATAGTGTGTATTGTCAAATTTCATTTTTTAATGGTAAACGTGTACTGTTAAAAGGAAAATATCAAAACGATTTATAAGAATCAATCATTCTCTTTCAAATATAGCCTGTTCGATTAGACAAAAGGTTTAAAAAATAACACACTTAAACATGAAATAAATTGTGTAGCACCGTGGATACCAGACGAAAGCAGATGTTTTTTTTTTATTATACCTGCTTGAAAAACACTATATTTTGTTCTTATGTCTTAAACATCAGCTAAGGTAGATTTGTTCGGCGCCTTCAATGAATAGAACTGAACTTTCAATCTGTCAAAAGCTCTTATTTTAAAAGATGAACTTGCAGTAGGCAGAAAATAACGACAGTATTATTTATTTACTGTTCATCCTTACCTGACTTTAATGTTGGATTAGTGAAATGTGTTTCAAGAATGAGATATCTTGGATCTCCAGGTGCATTCAATGAAAATCCAGCATTGGGAGGAAAGTCAAACCCCTGAAGTATATAATCAAAGTTAACACACAATCATACTAATTTGATATTTACAATGTTATTTTGGTGTTTAATAGATATTTTAGAAGACACGCCCGAAAAAGGGCATAACTTATACATAACTTATACCAAAACTTGTATAGACTATTTTCTTATTACCGACTTTTGATTCCGGAGTATATAATTTTCGACAGGTTACCTACTATACATTTTTGAAACTCGGACAAGTAAGAGCAACAAAAAAAAATAAAATCATCCTTACAATCGGTATTATTTTGGGAGAAAATTAACTGTTTACTGAATATTTTGTTATGAATAGAAAACATAAAACAGTTAATTTTACTTTTGTTAGTTGCTCTTACATGACTGAGTACCAGTATGTCCTACTGTAGTGAATGTAACATATCGAGAAATTATAAATTCCGGAGTCAAAAGTCGGTAATATGAAAATGGTCTATTGGGCGAATGAATATGGATCAAATTCGATTATCTCCTGCTTACCAGAAAAATATCAACTATAAAATAAGTCAAATGTAGAACATATTCTATCGTTAATTACAGATGCAATACGTGCATGTTTTATATGTTCGGCTGATTTTTTTTAGTAAAGAGGAGATTAAATTCAGTAAAAAGATATATTCAGAAAAAGGAGATTCATTCAATTAAAAGTACCAATGAATAAATAAAGATGAAAAATTGGCTTTTGTCACTTTCTTTATTTATCACATAAAAGTTGTACTTTCCGAGTTCAAGGCATCAATAGCCCGATAGTCGGCGCTTTTTTTTAAATAAACAAACTTACTCTTCACATAAAATATTTAAATCATCGGGGGAGTTTGGTGTTCAATGCTCTTCAACTTCGTTATTGAGCTGAACTTTGAACGTTCTTGATTCAAGCGCCACAGATGCGTCTTGTGTAGACGAAACGCTCTCTGCCATTCTAAATTATACGCCGGGTATTTTTTATGAATGTTATTTTAAGAAAACTGCAATAACAGCATTTATAACAGAAATTATAAATTTACTTTTCTTTTTATCACACATTATTTACTATATTTTTATGTCAATTTAATTTCAATTAAGTATGAAGAATAATTAACAAAGACGGAAAATCATATGCAAAGACAACATCGGCGCATCGTCAGGTAACGGTTTAAATCATTTGTCCGAGAACACAAATTATATCTGAATTGTTATGAAGTATGTTTAAAAAATAAGAATCTGCTCTAGTAGTCGAGACTTTATTTTAATCCAATTAAACACAAGCAAGTAGTCAACTTATCTGTAGTATGACGTCATAGCAATAGGCAAATACATGCAGGCAGTCAACATGTCCATACTTATGCAACAGTTCTATAAAGAATATCTGCAGTCCTGATATCTTTTAAAAAGTTGACACAGAAATTTTCGAAAAGTTAAAATATTGATAAATGCAATTATTGAAAAAAAATTACAGTAGTATTACGCAAAGTATATAACTTACAACACCACCAATTGCCCATGCTAACATGACGTCGTTGCATTTTTCAAATTTCTTTGGTTTGGTACCGTAGCAGTTAAAGACATATCCCACATCGTTATCTGTAGCAGTTGGGCAACTGTATGCAACAAAGTGATGGACGACTTCTTCATTTCCACGGGTGATTACTGGTTCAAACTTTCAAAAGAAATGAATCGTTAAACGATAAAGGACTTTCTGTTTTGAATTTTCCTTGGAGTTTGGTGTTTTTCTTATTCAACCTTTTTTTAGTCAGATTCTGAAAAATTTTATTGATAGTGTATGAAGGGGCATTAGTTACGATATAGACAAAACATTAAAGTATAAATTCTGTGTTTCAAAAGCGAAATATTGAAATAAAAATTCACTATATGCAACCAGTTTGATTCAGTTTTGTAAAGAAAAATCAGTTGAGTCCATTTGTATGGACCCTTAGTTGGACACGGGTTGTGCATGTGCTAAGTATGTTCCCAGTTCATTTATTTAAAAAAAAAAAGAATGCCAAAATTGATAAGTGAAACAACTTAGTCACAAGAAAGGAACATTTTGTTGACTGATTCTACCCTCCAAAAAATCATTCTTATATAAGTAAAAAAAATGATTCACACTTTTTTAATCTATGACACGAAATCAAATAGACCTAGAAAAATTATCATGATTACTTATGCACATGCGTTTTGATTATTTATGTTCTAATCAGGTCAAATTACCACCGACAGTATTCAAAAACTAAAATACAAACGAATAAAATCCTCATACTTTGTAACAAGTTCAAATGTTTAGTGTTTTCTATTGAATATTTGTAATTCTGGTAAATATTCTATAAAAATAAGAAGAGTTTTTGTCAATCAAACATATCTCCACTAGAGACCAAATGACATAGAAATTAACAACTATAGGTCAAAGTCCGTTTTTAGTGTGTGATAAATCTGGTTAGAGGATGTCAGTCATTGCGGTGTTGATAAATGTGACAAATAATATCCCTTTAAATAAGGGTGAAATATAAAAAGTACCCTTATCACGTGGCGCTTCGAAGATTTTTCTGGAACTTTAAAAACTGTACACTGGTATGTAGTATCTGTGTTGGCTGGAACATGAAACTAAAATAAAAATGTACATGTGTAACGTATTATAACGCAATCAAGTCTTATAATCTTTATCCATGTTCAAATGTAATGTCATTTCTATCTTTGTTTTCTTTTTATCAAAATTAATTTACCTTCCGTTGTTAATTGCCTTAGAAGAGTATTCGGTGTTCTTATAGTTTGGGACGTGAAAAATCTATATAACAGATTATAGTCAACGGATCGACATAATGGCAAATCATATATCACTTCTTTCTTTCCTTCAAATTTATGAACGTTCTGTTTAAATGTTTAAAATATCATTTGCTTATACTTTAACAAATCTATTTTTAAATTCTATTTCAAGTTTCTGTATTTTACATATTTTTAAATGCATATGAAAACATAACCTTACATTGTTATGAAGTATATCGAATTGTTCAGCATCAGGTGGTAACTGATAGTCATTGTCTTTGACTGCAGACAACAACATTAAACTTTTTGCTCCTCGTCTGTTTGCACCATGCCAAGGCAGTGTATTGAACGATGCAGGATCATCAGGGTGATACGAATAGATAACCTTGATAGTATTATCCTTTTCAAATAAAATTATATATATCAAAATTAAAAGCTCATTGACATATACTAGTAAGTGTTTGTCTTTTGTTTCATTTTCAAAATATGTAGTACATTTTAAATTCAAAAACAAATTTAAAATATACGCACATTGTTGGAAGACAAAGTACATTTTTTTTCAGTTAAAGAAAAGGTAAAAAAATGAGTCTCGTCGAACTTTTCCCTCTCTTGTAGCGAGTGAGCGTACAGTTTAACTGTTTTATGATGTCATGTAATAGGTGCATTTCCTATGTTAATTGTGTAAAAATATTTTCATGATAAAACATGTAAAATGCCAGTTTTTATTGGTTTATACATGTTATACGAGTGCTACATTCTTCTTCATCACTTAGTTTATCTTGTAAACATTTTTTAAATGTTACCCTCTTGCATTAAACAATAAAAATGACAAAAACAAAATCTATATATATATATATACAACTCGTCTTAACATCAGCCCAACAATGTTAGATCTGTAAATTTACTTTCGCAAATTTTTTTGTTCTTCCCTCGCCGGGATTCGAACTCAGGCATTCCCGGAGAGGGAAGAACAAACAATTTGCGAAAGCAAATTTACAGATCTAACATTGTTGGGCTGATGTTTAGACGAGTTGTATATACAGAATGTACACAGCCATGTATCACCATCACTGCTGGTGATCCGATGGATAAATCTGTTGTAGAGTTGTCACTGGTTCAGACGTACTTATAAATATAATTATTTCTTGGACTGTATCTTGCATTAATTTGTAGGATCCTTTACAATAGATATTTCAGCTGATCTGTAACAATTCCATCTTCATGCCTTATATATCATGTATTGTATTACGACGCTAGATTAAAACTGACGGGGAAAGGTAACACCCGGCCACCAAAAGCTTTATTATTTGAAGCCTAGGTGGTCGAGTGGTCTAGCGCGACGGATACAGTGCAGGCGATTTGGTGTCACGATATCTCAGTAGCATGAGTTCGAATCCCGGCGAGGGAAGAACAAAAAATTTGCGAAAGAAAATTTACAGATCTAACATTGTCGGGCTGATGTTTAGACGAGTTGTATATATATTCATAGCCGTTACCTCTTCTATGAGATAGAGAAAATGTCTACTACTAGTAGAGTTTTTGCAAGTAAATAAAGAGGTGTGAAATACAAAAACATTAGCAACTGTATGACAAGTTACATTGTCACACTTTCCGATAGATTAAAAAATAAATAAATGAACTGCTCAGGTATAGCACATCCATGACACTTTACACAGATAGCGTGTGTAAATCCATTGTGTGATTGACGTCATTTTTATGATACGAGGAAAAAATAAATTATCTAGATCTCTTCAAGTTGCTATCAAGAAAAGGTCAGCTTAAAACAATTTCACCCAAAAATGTATGTACATATACATCGTTGCTTTAATGCTTAATGTTACTGGCAATTTACAATATGTCAATGTTGATTATTCAGAACCCGTTTGCATATATGTTTTTTTTTTTTTTTTAAATATTCAAAAAGCAATCATATAACAGTTTCATTAATAAAATATTTGCAATAATAATCATTTTACCCAAAATTCAAAGCATTTCAATTTTTTTAATTGTTCAAATAATTCAAATATCAAAACAATAAATATACTCACTGTAATTTGGTAGTCTTTGTCATCACAGGTATCTAACTTCCTAACAAACTTTAATACTGTTCCAAAGTTATCTTCAAGTCCCTGTAGAAGCATCCAGTCTTGGCTAACATCAACGATAGGGGAATAATGACCTTCAGTGTGACAGTCCTATAATGAGGATAACATAAGGCATCATGAAAACTCCAGAATATTTTCATTTCTCCGTATGTCATTGATATTACTAATAAAAAATAAAATTCATTTAAAGTTTCCTAACTTCTAATCTAAATTATCACAAATATTTTAAATATTTTTGCCTATTTGAATTCACATGCTTTGTTGGAATAGATGCTATTTAAAAACTAGCACAATCTGCTATTTCAATTCTTTACATATTTTGTTACTAAATTTGGGATGATTTGATTGACCACAAACTTTCAAGGGAATAGTTAATTCAGTTACCGGTAATCAAATGCACCGATCATTACTTCCTCATTTCACTTGACCCATATATGTGTCTCTCAAAGAGTGAATTTTTAAAGATACTAAATCAAAATTAAGTTTTTGTTAGTACTTTTTTCACTTTTCCGTAGAATTGTATCACATGTAATTTATGAGGACGCATCTTCAAGACAAAATATGATTACACTTACAGTCAATGTTTTTATCTTTTGTTTTTCTGAAATGTTTGGCGTTTAACTTATGCAAATATGTATGAAAAACGGTCATGTACGGAATATTTGATTGAAGTTTTGTTAAATAAGATGATCATTTTAGTTTTATGACTAACTTATGATAGCGAGGGGATATTATATTTACTGGTCTGTGCATCCGTCCGTTCAAAATATAAAACTTTTAAAATTATATACCAAATTAAAGTTTGACCCGGATTAAGTGGTGCACTGAACATGGAAATATGAGCACGTGAAGGGGCACTGTGTCTTAAGGCCACATATTCTTGTTGTAAATGTTTTGATTAATACATGTACATGTATATTATCTTCCGTATTCATAACTGTCTCTTTTGTCTTATGGTAGTGTGATAGATTTGACAGTAACCCCTCAAGGGTGACCGAGGATAGAAATATTGTAACTGTTGGTCTTGCTCCGACCGGCAGTTAAACCATTGCCGAAGGGGGCGTCATTTTGGCTTTGCGTGATGTACAAGTACGCAGTCACGTCCGGTCATAGAGGGGTCGTTAATTCCGATGCCTCTTGTTGAGAGAATGCCACGTTCTCTGCGCAAATTAAATATGCATATCAATCGACAGTGGCGTAACTTTAATTTTATTTCTGGTGAAGCAAATAATTTGAATCTTGGCAGTCAAAGCCTCAACTTGGTTAAAAGACGTAAATGCCATTAGGGAGTGGACGGTTAATTGAAAATCTGAATTGCAAAAAAGTTTTCAGCATTTACAAATGCAAGAAAAATCATAATTTTAATCACGTTTGATTGATTAATTAATTGATTGTTGTTGCCGGACATTTAAAGACGAAAACTGCATGCATATTCAGGACATGTACAAAATAATACCATAGATATGTATACTAAGTCTACCATGATAACAGCATGAATTTCAATCGTACCTGGAAAAAGGGAGCATGTTACAAAGGGGCAGACATTTTGTTTTGCAACAGGCCTCCTGTGGATCCCTGGTTCTGTTCCGTGTAGAACTAATGTACGCATCTACATTAGATTTGATTAGACGTCCCCACTGCTATTGGACGTGGCTGTGTATTTATACACCCCGGACAACCAAACGGACGACCCTTTTAAGCATATTATAATGTTAAATACAATCTTGTATATAGTACATACTGGAACATCCCGCAAGGCTAAGGAAACATCCAAAAAGGGGGGATGGTAGGTTACCATACTCTTCATAGGTCACACACTACCAAAAAGATCTTGTCTAAAGAAAAGTAAATCCAGATTTGTGGAATTTTATCATGAAATAATAATATTTCGAATGCGCATTTATCAATATATTTCAAGGAAACTGTTGGTTAAAGGTTTAAGTCTAGTATTCAATTAAAAACAGTTCCTGATCAAAACAAAAATAATTGACAGAATTAAATGTATGACCTCCTCTAAAATGCGTTTGTACATATTTGGGGATATTGAAATTTAAGTTCCACTATGTCTTTTAACTTTATACGTTTAGTTTTTGTCAAAATGCATGGAATAAGAGCAAAGATTGGTAGGTCCGGAGTCATAATCATGTGTCCGGGTAGGGTGACATGTCTTTCTGCGTTATAATACAAAGTCTGGTTCATATTCATCTTCTCGTCCTTACTATGCATATGTAAAATACACATATGCAACGAACACTTATATACATGGCCATGCATCCTATAGTCACTTGTATTTTAGCGTTGCGCAATATCGTCATATTCTACACTGCATTGGGAATTAAAAGTCGAAAGAGAGCTGTTTTGACCGCATAGCGCACCCAAAAGGAGGATTTAGGGGGAGGGGCATGTTCCACTTCTAACGTTTCCTAGATCCCACTTTTTCAAAATCTTGGATCCGCATCTGGCAACGAAATCTTATTATCTTATGTTGATCAATGTTTCTTACTAACACATTTTAGTTAATGATTGATGCAGTAAAACGAATTTGGTGACCCCCGCATTCATTGTTTCTCAATAAAATGGATAAAATACTATAAGTTAATTTACTTCAAGGGATATTAAAAAAAATGTCAACAAAATATCCTGCTAAATGTTTTCCCCGCAACATATATAATAAAAAGATGGCAAAAGAAAAAAAAGAAAAAAGAAAGAAAAACATCGGATAACGAAAAAAAGGCATAATGGGTCGTTCATCTGCAAAGTATATTTAAAAATAATTGTCATTTTCAAAAACCATGAAAGATAACTCAAATCGATCGTATGATAGGTATGGGATACGTGTTTTTGTACGTGATCTTATGTCAGTGAAAATAAAGGCGTGAATCTGGAGAACCTCGTGGTAAATAAAAATGCAAGATTTCTATAATTTTTCGTCATGATAGAATTATTTTAAATGGACGAAAATTCCAGTGTGTGATTTTAAAAGTCTTGGAATACTTGATTTAAACTTGAGCGACGTATTTAATCAAATTCAATGATTGACAATAACCAGTCCCATTAGGTCCTTTCGTCGAGTTGCGTACGTATGTCCCTTCCGCAGCATCTGAGATCACCCCAAGTTTTTGGTGGGGTTCGTGTTGCTTAGTCTTTAGTTTTCTATGTTGTGTCATCTGTACTATTATTTGTCTGTTTGTCTTTTTATTTTTGGCCATGGCGTTGTCAGTTTGTTTTCGATCTATGAGTTTGACTGTCCCTCTGGTATCTGTCGTCCCTCTTTTATTGGAAATCTCTAATAACAATTTACACATAAATCTACAAAAAAAAATCACACACACACACGACCGCGAATGCAGGATGTAGAACACTGTTTATAATAAAACGACTCACCTTGAAGTGAGTCGATCCGTTGCTGTCAACCCAGCCAACAACAACATCAGATGGAAACATTTTACCATTGGATGAAAGACCGAAGCCGACATATCCCTTAGTCTTAACGTGAGTCTCGAACGTTATATGTGTTGTATTAGTTTTCCAAAATAACCAGTAATTTCCATCACTGTCTAGTTGCCAGCTATTCCCGAAAATTTCCGTTGGCGTTGGTTTGGAGGGCAACACATTTGGGTTTCCTATGCATGTCCCGAACAAATATAGAAATGCAAAATAGATTGTGCACTTCATTGTAATTTTTCTTCTAGCAAAGCCTTAACGTGTGATCTTGCTTAAATATATGTTGATGAAAGGTGAATTACTAGAGATACATGATTTTGAAATGTATTGTCCTATCTAAGGAACCTGTACATACGTAGCTTTTTATCGATAATAATCAAACACAATCCATTAGTACGTAGAAGTTGATGTCAGTTTTGAAATGTAATCTGATAAGATTGTTGTGTAAATGTTTATAGTAAAGTAACTTGAAGCTTAGGAGTAATAAATATTCACCGTGACAAAAACAAAAAAAAAAAACAAAAAAATATATGCAAAAATCAAAATCTGATATGTCTTCTTATCATTGTACTCCTAAATCGTTATATTCTTTAAACTTTATCAAAGATGACATAGCAATGTTTTTGACTTTAAAACGACAATTTTGTTGATAGTTGATTGTTTAACGTCAAGCGACAAATACATAAAGCATATTCAGAACAACACTCAATATTTTTGAAGTGGGTCCAGTGCGACGATGGTGTGAAATATGACTGCACACAGAAAGAGGGTATGTTTGGTAAGGAGAATATTTTGTCATGCAACAGAATATACCGTTTCGACGTGGTACTGTAAGTTCTGTATCGTATGGTCGATTTTAAAGAAGATAACAAAATATTTTAAATCAAATTAAGCTTATCAGACAACAACAGAAAGATGCTTTTGTTTTTAGTAAGAGGCTTGATTGACCATATCATATTATAAGACATGCAAAAATTGTAAGAATGAAAAATAAATTTTGAAGTTAATTGGTTTTAAAAATGTAACAAAAATCTATTGAAGTCACTTTTTGAAAAACCATTTTCTCTATGAGATTTGAAATTTGTTATTTTCATGAGATTATATTTTTGATTTCTCGAAGATATTGAAACAAATAACAATGAGTGTGTGTTAAAAATGATTTTATTTTGTCAAAAGTTTAAATATATCAAAACATTTGTATTTGCTTGTTTTAGAAAAGAAAACATATTTCAATCTCATTCTTAAAAGCAAATATTGAAATTGCTGACCTTTAGCATTTTTCAATTTCACTTACAATATTGAAAAATGAAAAATGCTCTAACGTGGAGCATTTTTCAATTTGGCTTACAATATTGAAAAATGAAAAATGCTCTAACGTGGAGCATTTTTCAATTTGATTTCAAATATTGAAAAATGAAAAATGCTCCAACGTGGAGCATTTTTCATTTTGACGTTTGATATTGAAAAATGAAAAATGCTCCAATATTACTGTGCAATATTCAAATTTGAAAAATGTTCCCATCTGCTTCATTAATTAAATGTCTAATAATAAGAACGAAATGTAATTTGTTTCACTATAGGTGTTTTAAATGTTTAAATTGTTGACACTATTTATTAAATGTTTTACTATTTCCGTTTTCTTTTTTCTTGTTTTAAGCGCAATATCTTGAAGATCTTTTTATGGTGTGTGTGAACTATGTGTGGTATCAACTAATTTCGAACAAGAATGGTACACTGACAAGTACGATAATGACCACAAAACAAATCATTCTTTCTTTTTATCTATATATCTAGCTGTCTTTGTAGCTACATGTATATATCTATCTTTCGATCCATCAATCTGTCATTCATTGTATCTATCTATCTGTCTATCTATCTGACATTTGTTTATCTTTGTCTTTTCTTTCTTTGAATTGTCGGGGTTGAAATTTTTAATTTAGTTCTCTCGAAGTGAAGAAGTCACTTGTTTACATGTACATGTTGAAAGAATGGAAGAACTTTTAGACCATCGTTGTTTGATTCAACAAATGTTACTTTACGGAAGATCACACCAAGACATTTCTCAACACTTGACTTCTTTAGGAATCAAGCATGCATCAGCGCGAACAATAAGCCGTTTTTTTCTGAGAATGGAATTACTAGGCGATGCGGAGTAGACGAAGGAGCATTAAACCATATCTTGGCTGCATGTGTCAAACATGTAAGAAAAGAAGGGAAAATATTAGAATATTAGATATTGTCCATGTCAGTTTCTGTGCATGTTGAAGGAGGAGGGTCGCGGGTGGAGTGGGGGTGGGGAGGGGTGGGTGTAGATGTTATATTATTCTGATCACTGCGCTAGTATTTGTTTTCAAATTTGTATATTTGTATACGAATATTTTCTGCATTGTATTTTAGCATTTCCTAATTTTGATTCTGTTTAATACAAACTTGTTATTAATAAGCTTATAATATTCACAATTCTCTATCGCAGAATATCAAATAAGCATCATCTAATAAAAGAAAATATGAATTTAACTTACATGCATGTATGTGTGGTAAATGTATATTTCGAAGGATGAATGACTTCTTATAGCAAAGAATATAATATTATCATAATTATGTGAATAGTATTTCAACAAACATAATACAGTTCCCATGAAGTTCTGTTTTATGTACATTCTATTATCTTTTATCTAATATGATTTTACATCTTTAATATGTGAAAGCAAAACGAGTACTTCGCTTCCTCTACCTAGTATTTGTTTAGCAACCAACAATCAATCAATCCAGCTCTTAATTATTTGTAACAAACGTATATAATGGTCCTTTCATATTTTTTATAATTATCATTTCTCTGCAGGGAACGATGTTTTGGAATATTGTTTCGTATCATTTTGTAATACGGAAGGTTTAACTTAATGTAAATGGCAGAAAGTTCATACACTTGGTAGCATAGCATTCATTACTCTCCTTTTTATGTGACAATATTTAAGAGTTACGGAACATTAACCACTGTAGGGTAAAATCAACTGTTTCATACTAATTACTTTCCCCTGAATTATAAATAAGAAAAAACTTTCCTTTCTGTTGTCAGAATAGGAATGAGAATTGGGCAAAGAGACAACAACCCGACCAAAAAGCAAAAACAGCCCAAGGCCACTAGTGGGTCTTCAATACAGCGAGAAAATCCCGAACACGGAGTCGTGCTCCAGCCGGACCCTTTACACAAATGTGTACTAATTCATCGAATATGGGCGTCACATTAAATTTCGAAACATATTAATAAACCTAAATAAAAAAAAAATTATATACAAAACGAACTAAGGCTACATAGCAAGATAATCACACCAGCTTCTTCTTTTTTATTCTATTATAGTACTTAACTTATTAATAAGTAGTTTGTGCAAGCGAATGTACTTCCAGTGTGAAATTCAAAAATAACTTGATAGTTGCTTAAGGTATATTATACTTTTCAAACGACTCGGAAGTTGACATAATATATGTATAGAGACACCCGTCTTCTGTTGAATACAATATATGTGCTTCCCAAGAGACTTTTGGTTATGTGTTTCGTTGGGTTGTTATATTTCGCTGCCGTGTAAGCGACATCTTTTTCTGTTCATATCAGTATATATCAAATCGTCGTCTAAGACGGGACGTATTATGGTATACCGTTGTCCGTCCGTCCGTCTGTCTGTCCGTCCGTCCGTCGTCCACACTTCGGACAATTAATAAAAAACGCTTCCACCAACTTTTATGAAATTTTGTTGAATTGTTTATATTTATTGACGTAAGCGCCCTATCGATTTTTATAAATTTCAAATTTTTCTTTTCCATGTTATGAAGTTTTATCCTTAAAAAAAGGGGGATTTTCCAGTTTTCGGACAATAACTCAAAAATGCTTCCATCAACTTTAATGAGACTTTGGTGAATTGTTTATATCTATTGACGTATGCTCCTTTTCGATTTTTATAAATTTCAGATTTTACGTTTCCGTGTTAAGAATTTTTATGCTTAAAAAAGGGGGGATTTTCCAGTTTTCGGACAATCACTCATAAACACTTTCACAAAAATTTATGAAACTTTGGTGAAATGTTTATATCTGTTGACTTAAGCTACCTTTCAAGTTTTATAAATTTCAGATTTTACGTTTTTCAGTTATGAATTTTTATATTGAAAAAATGGGGATTTTTCCAGTTTTTGGACAATAACTCAAAAACACCTTTAACGACTTTTATGAAACATTTACATTTTTGGTGTTATGCAGTCTTATTCTTAAAAAAAATTAGGCTTTTTTACAGTTTTTCGGATAATAAATCAAAAATACTTTCAGCAGTTTATGATGAAACTATGGTGACTTGTTTATATCTATTGAACTAAGTACCCTTTTGTTTTTTATATAATTTCTGATTTGATGTTGTACAGTTGTGGAATTTTCCTCTGAAAAAAATGTCGGAAACGGCCAAGGAAATTATTCGTTGAAAAAAATAATTTATGGCATAAAGACAAGCTAAAAGGGCAACGGGCGTATCATGCGCTTATAGCGTAGCTCTTTATTTATTTATTTGATGAGTCAAGTCTTTTCAACTGATTTTATAAGAAGTTTTATAATATGCTGTTTAAGGGGATGGTTGTGCACATAAAACGAGTTTAATCACTACGAGTTCTATATATGCGCCGTAAAATTATTTTTTCTCGAATGAATTGAATAGTTTTAAATTTTTCATTTTGGAATCTTTTGTAGCTTGCTATGCGGTATTGGTTTTCCTCAATGTTGAAGACTGTACTATGAATTATACTTGCTTACTTCATCATCATTTAATGTCTGGTGGAAAAAATTGTTTCTCTGGCAATCATACCACATCTTTTTTTTATAAACTTATGAATGAAACAAACACTAGTATTCGTCAGTTCAGTTATAAAGCACGCCATTCACGAATCGAGTAAATGAATGCATAGAGAGCGCAGCGTTATATATTTTCATGTGCCATGCGTAGCTATACATATGTGAACTTTTATAAATGTACATGTATCAATTGGTGATGCTTTTTGTACTTGCTAAAGGGGAAACTAAGAAAAAATAAGATAGCAACGTTTCTTCGGTATTGATTATATTTATTGATTGCGTTACGATCAATAACAATAATAACAACAGATGAAATTACTGAACAATAAGTGATATATACAGTCCGCCAAAAGTTAAGCACCACCTATCTTTGTTGCATCGAAATTTTTTTCATTTAAAAAAA